TTATATTAACAAATAATGTCTGATTTTAATAATGTATTAGTGAATACTGAAATTAACATTAAGTAAGATTACACTTTAGATGTATTTTTCATTGTTAATTCATGTTAACTAATTTTGGAGCCTTAAGTGGAACCTTATTGTAAAGTGTTACCATATATATATTAATATATTTAAATATTATAATTAATATAATACAAACTTATTAGTCAATTATTAGTAATTAGTCAATGTATAATTATAAAATATATTACATAATATTAATTATTAGATATCTTTATTTATATATCTATCTATATATCTGTATCTATATCTATCTATCTATATAACATTTAAATATTATAATTAATATAATACAAAATTATTAGTCAATTATTAGTAATTAGTCAATATATAATCATAAAATATATATATTACACGATATTAATTATTAGATATATATATTTACATATTTTGTTATTTTTACTTATTTTAAATTTTTCTTGCTTACATTTTTATATTACTATTTAGGTTTAATTTATTTTTATTTCAGTTTTGGTTTATTTATTTCCAGTTAGTAATTTTAGTGCTTCAACTTAAACATTTCTCATTTTTGTTTAGTTTACGTTTGTCAACTAATTTCATCAGATTTTTATTTTATTTCAGCTGTATTTATTTCAAAATGTTGTTAATAGATTCATTCTTAGTCAAGCATAAAAACCATGCACCAGACTTAGTAAATAATTTCTACATTTGTGCACAGAGGCTTTACCATGCTAAAATAGAAAACCTATAAATTAGAAAGAATAGAATTTCCTAGAATGCCACTGTATGTTGTAGCATTACGATTTGTCCTCACAGACATTAACATTACAGCCAAGTTATATATAGTTAGAAGGGGGCATTCACATACTATATATAGTGCACTTCCAGGTTTGTCAACTGCATTCAGTAATACAGTTCTTTCTCAATCATAACAAAGTTTCAAAGAGCTCTTCAAAGGTCCACCACAACAAAAGAAGACAGAAAGGCATTGGTCAAGCACACTGGATGACCAACAATTTAATTTCTTTTCAAACAAACAAATTGAGCAGCTGCACAAAAGTTGAATAGAGCTACTGTGCCAAAAATACTCTTATAATAGTTACCCTAACACGTAGCACAACCTTTCATATTTACAGTCAGAAGTCATAAAGCATCATATTTTGAAAGTCCATGGCCACCACCTGAAGACAAATGGGACCAAAGGCACTTTGATGTATGTACTTCATGAGGCCTACAGGATGAAATCTCACTGCATGTCATTGACAAAGAACACGCTGAAAGAGACACACGTCATATAAATCCGTTGAGCTAAAGCACGTTCATCTAGTCTGGTCAAGACTGGTCAAAACAAATGCCTTTATTTGGGAACAAATGCACTTAACGGTTGCACCACTCTTGTGTTTTATTCCACTAAACAAATGCAAATCATGTGTTATCTGCACTGGTCTAACTGTGGTGGACTAACTAAATACGGTTGAACAGACTTTCAAAAACAGTCCCTCATCCGTTTGAGGTCTCGGCCTCTCAGTTCTGTTGCCAAACATGATTGTGTGATGCTCGGAGGCCACCTTAACACTTGTGTTTTCACACATTCACCCAAGCACAAGTACCAATGAGAATCACAACAGAGAAAACTTTTTTTATCATACTACACAACTTGTCAAATGCATGATGTAGCAGAAATCATCTGGCTCATGTTTGCATTTTCTTCTGTCACTGGTCACAATTCTAACCTTGAAATCAAGATTAGGCTTCAAATAATATCTTCAGAATCATTCATACATGTTAAAATCATTTGGGAATTGAACAAATAGTTGTAATCTGGCTCAGAGGAAGACACCAACCGTGTCTTTGTGGCGTTTTTTCTGCTGATTAAGGGATAATACAAGAATTCTTACAATAGCCACCTTACAAATGGTTGTCAAAAACAAAAATGCTACAAAATGCATCATGTTTTGTGAGAAAGTGTGATATGCTAGAAAAAAACAGGCACTAATTTTGGAGTTAGCAGCCCAATATTCATAAGAAACTGTATTGGCTTTCATTCAGCAAATTTGGTTGCAGGGCGGTTTAATAATAACAATAAACCGTAGTTGTAAACCTTAATTAACAGGTAGTATTATATATTCTAGCATAAGGACATTTGAAAAATGCTTAATCAAAAAAACTTTATGAAAAATGGCCTTAATATTTGTATTGCATTGTAACCATTTTGTAAAAGCAATAAGGCCTTGAGATCATGCTATATTGAAAACATATTCAAAAAACAGCACAGCCACTCGTACCTTATTGTTCAAAACATGCACTGTCACTCCACACACAGTTCTTTATGTAACTTCAAATCCCATCACAGAAGTGACCTGACGCACATGCTAAAGAGCAGTGCTTCTCATTTTCATTCTCAGCATGATGCCGCAGCGATAACGGGGGAACTGGAGTGCTAGAATCCCTTCGGGCATTTATTTCAATTACCTGGAAATTCATGCTGCTTTTAAAGCTAAAGCATGACATTTGAGCAAGTAGCGCACACACACGTTTAAAACAAACTCTCGGCAGCAGTTTTTAGGATCTTTCACTCATGCATTGACTTTAGTATAATTTACAGATCAGAAAAACCCTTTTTAGGCTTTATTGCTACTGCAGACAAAATCAAAGCATCCTGTTCTGCAAGCTAACCAACACTGATGAACGTTACTGTTGGTCATCTTAAAAACATAGCTGACGTCAAAGGATAAAAAACAAGTTTTCAAAATGTATGAATGTTCCTTTAGTTGAAATAACCTATTACACATCACATGCATATTAAAGTGAGCAATACAGTTTCCTGCCGGAATTGCTGTACTTGATCACAGTATGCAATTAAAAAAAACTTTAAACACTTTACCTTGACACCTTCCTGTATTTTTAATTTACAATAAGCAAAAATGAAGTATCCAACTAAAAAACAACCTGTGCACTGATTCAGTGGATTGCAATTAGAAGTCGTCATAGTTTAAGAATGTTATGAAACACAACTAAGGGCTTTTTTATACTTTTGATATTTTTTTTAACTCAAGGTTAAAGGGTTAGTTCACCCAAAAATAAAAAAAATTAGACCATAAATTACTTACCCTCAAGTCATCCTAGGTGTATATGACTTTCTTCTTTCAGACGAATCCAGTCGGGAGAGATCGATTATGATGATCAGAAGAGAAAAAGATGTGAATTTTTTTTTTCATCACTCCCTCACTCCCTCCCTGTTAGAAACACTCACACAGCAACATTAACCATTTTTCTGTAATTTAATGCCAAGGAAATAAAACTGAGTAAACAGTTTAAAAATATACATTAAATCTTTTAAAAATGAAAATACAAAAAAGTTGTAAGATTACGTAATATAACTTGCATCATCACAGTGTGAAAAGCCTCAATTCTTCTTTTCATTATCCAAAGCAACTTATTTTATTACCAATCCCTTGGAGCCATATTCAAAGGTATAATAGTGAAAGCTCATGAATCACCGCTTTGGATGTTCAATACCCATGGGTTACCAGGCCCTGATCTTTAACCACTAAGTTTTGACAGTCTCACAATAATCTCACTACCTCCAAAGGCTTGTATTTTTAGTTGCATCAGCTGAAAGAGTTGACGTTCCTCACCTGATACCTCCAGGAAAACCAACTCTCAGGGAAGCCATGACACAGGAGAACAGGCGGTCCGTCTCCCATGTCCACATAGTGGATCCTCACGCCAGGCTGAAAACCAGAGGAACACCCTTTTAATGACCCTTTCTATCAATAACACTGCCAGTGAACTTTGGCACAAGTAAAACAGAGATAAGCATTATAAATGACCTTAATATTCACATATCCATGAGAGACATTTTCAGGATCACAAGAGGGTGGCTGGAGATCACTGGTGACCTGTTAACAGTTAAAGCCATTAAATGACAAATGTCACACAGGGAATTCAACTTATGTTTTTTCACTGTAAATTATAAGATGGCTTGTTCTTTTTTACTTCCAACAACTGTAAATTTAACAGTATTTTTAGATTTATTACAGTTTTTCCTATATATAGTAAGGGAACTTGCCGATAAAGGCAGAGTAAGTGATTTCTGGTAGCCAATGTTGATATTTGAAATCACCAAAACAAACACGCCCCTACCCCAAAAGGGTCTTGCCCCTATTTTGATAGCTCCGCCCCACATATACGCACGCAACCCAGGCAACGATTAGTTCTGTGAAACAAAGCAAAACCAATGTTACACCATGTCTAC